GCGACGACCCCACAAACCGCAGGGATGACCTTACGTGTCGTTTTTAGGGAAACGAAGACCACCACCCACAAACGGGTGCTGGAGGGCAACAACAGGGCGGAGCCAAACGCACCACTCTGGGCTGCGGCCCCCACAGGCCCGCTCGGAATGCTCTCCAATTCCCTTCCACTTTAGGCTATCGATGCTCTCCAAGTGGGAAGCGAGGGAAGCCACGAGCACGGAACCGACCACTCTCCGAAACGGAAGGTGCTGAGGTCAGGAGGAATCCAATGATGCTTAGGCGGGCGTGCCCTCGGCAGAAGCCTTGGGCGCCACGTGCGTTCAAGGTCTTGATGGTTCACGGATTTCTGCAATTCACATTCAGTATCGCATTTCGCTGCGCTCTTCATYGTTGCGAGGGCCAAGATATTGGTTTGCCAAGAGTTCTACATTATGGTGCCGTTTCGACAGGACTGACCCCTCGACCAGAACAGAAGGGCGCCGTAAACCCGGACAGCGACAAATCAGAGCAAGCACATCAATAAAAAGTTGCAAAGCCGTCACCACCAGCCGCTGCTACGGGCCCGTCCGACCCCCCGTTCGGGGGGCCAGGCAAGGCACCGGGGAGCAGCGGGGCAACGAGGGTGCAAGCGCTGTCTCCTCCTCCCCCCCCCAACCCGACACCACCCCGTTCACGACCAAAACCTTCCCCCAATGGCCCTCCACCCTGAGACTCAAACCACCTCGACTGTGCCGAGGACGGCGATCTGTCCGGAAAGGAGAACCCCGTTGGGAAGAAAGACAGGACGAAACGGGGAGGGGCCGAGGACCCCGCAACACACCCCGCCCCTAGCCTGTACCACGACCCTCGATCCCCAAACAAGCCACAAGCTCCGCACGAAGCCGAGGTCGAGGCCGGGTTGGAAAGGAGGTCTGGACAAAGCTGAGACGGAAGGAGCGACGCCACAAGGCCCCGGACCCTGCCCACTCCCCCCACCCTCGACCTACACCACGCGTTCCTCTGCGCCGGGCCAGCCGCCAGCTGGGCACTAAGCCCAAGATGGTGCTGAAACGGAAGAGAAAAGCGGATGCAGGGAGGATGGGGGGCAAAGGGCGGCGGAAGGGCGAGCAA